CACATCTCCCCCCCTTCTTCTCATCTCCTACCCCCTACCCCTCTCCCCCTCCCCTTCCCCCCGGTCCGGCGAGCGACTGATGCCGAAGCAGCCAACAGCACGTCGAGGAGCAAGGGAAGGAGGCCCCGGGAGAAGCGAGCTAGTCCCGATTTTCATTTTACATATAGAGGCGCTTATCAAATCTGCCGCTTGATAACCGGCCTAAACAGCGAGGAAGGCAAGATACGGCCAGATAGACACAGACTACGTATAAGAGACCAGGGCAGGCGGAAACCCATTTCGTAAGTTGAAACCGAGTTCTGAACTATTCTTATACTCTATAGTTTTTGCTCATTCTTCTGCTGTGAATTTTGTTTGCAACAAATCTTTGGTTTATTTGCTGTGAAGATCGTTTGTTGACCTATCATGTTGGATTTCCGCCGTGTGCCGTTGACTGTGAGGATGTTGTCAGTGTCAGGATCGTCATTTTGTGAGTAAGACTGAAGTCAGGACCCTTCCTGTTGTTCTGGTCAAGGCTTTTTGAGAAATTGACCGCAGTCTTAAATGGTCATGCCAGTCACTTTGGTTGTGTTGTCCAATACAAACGCTACAAAATTTTATCTCTTCTGTAATTTATTTGCATGAATGAAAAGAGGCTTCATTAACTATATATAGCATTATCTTAGCTCTCTGTAAAGTTAAGAAACAACCCTCGAGCCTTTTTCTGAATCCGTTGTATTGCAAAGCTCTGACCTCTGGACCATAATAATCCATGCAATCTGAATGTTAATTATTAAATTCCGGATTCAGAATAGGCTACTGCTCGCAAGTTGTGGTAATATACCGAACGCAATAGAAGTGTCCAAGGTAGTATTATGTTAAAAAAGACCGCAAAGGGTGGGGTAAAAGGGCCAAAGTCATATTTTCAGTCTTGAATAAATCAAGTTGTTTAGTTTAAAGCGAGAAATAATTAAATCGTTTTTCTGTTATGCCCTATTTAAAAAAATTATCCGGCTCAAGAATGAGTCCCTTATGTATTTATTAAGTTGTTTTTGAAGAGTAAACCATGGAATTTGTACGAGTCCTAAAAGAAAATGATTCTACAATTTTGAGTCTGTGAATGTCTGTGTTCAGTTTTTTTTCCATTACGGT